GAGGTTCCCTTTCTTTACCGAATGGAATAGATTAGCAACTGGAACCTGGAATGCTGTAGGACAAACATCTGAATCAAATTTATCAGCAGATTTTGCAAATTTACACTAAATTTACAATATTGTATGTTAGAAGCAAACATCCTGGAACACTTTATTGGGAGTGTTACACAAAGTATGCAGTACCTCCATACTTATTGTTCATAGAGATGGGGAGATTGAGCATGCTCATTTTCCATTTATATACAAATACATTTTCAACTATGGTTTATCATTGTTTTTTTCATTTATTATTTATCTTTCACTCATGCCCAAAGGCTCAGATCAGAATCTGGCCCCTGGACAAACACAAAGGAAAACCTGGTACTTGCCCTGAAGAGGGCCGAATTAGAAATCATTTCACTCTAAGGGAAAAAAAAAAAAAGAAAAAAACAGAGTAGATACATTTAAGAAAGTAAATTTCACATTTAAATTTGATTGAAAATACCCATAATAGTAACAATAGAAGCTTGACTTCCTAGTAAATCTTGCTAGATAGCGTGTAGTTTCCACTATTGATGCTGATGAAGTCATCTGCAGATATACAAGAAGGTATGTTGAGGTAACCGGAAATCTAGCCAAGTCATTAAGCTGTATGAGCGGGCAAAAACAGCAAGCCAAAAGGAAAAAGTTTCCAACTCTTCCCAACATCCCATTTCCACTTGCCATAAGGCAACCTCAATTCAATTTCTTCTTAATAAAAGATTATGGCTGCTGCAACACTAAGTTGCTTTTTAAACAATCTTTCCCTTTCAACAACATTCCTTTCCCTAAAAGAAGTTTAGTGCTTAACCAGCCTACTTTTAAGTTACATAGCAGCTAGTAAATAATTGCCTTTGTCTACCACAGTTTAAATCTGTAATTCACCCCTTTTGTAATAATTGTTACTTATTTGCTATATTAATATATAAGGGCCAGTAATGTAGCCCTTGCTATGGAAATTCCCAATACAATCAAAGGGGAAAAGGAATACAGAATCAGATCCACATAATATATGCATTTGTTATCCAGTTCTAAACTCTGATAAACACTTTTGTGCATGTGCCACAGTTTTTTAACTCCTCGTCCAACTGACCTCAAATCTGGAGGAAAAATGTTTAGCTCAACCATAAATTAATTCTACTTATTTTGTGGTTGAAATTCTTTTGTTTGTGGATTTGGGGAACGAGGAGAGAAAAGGGGATGCCCCCCCAAAAAAGGGGGGGGAGCCTTACAATGGAATGTCAGTTATAACTATGGATCATCTACTACTGCTCCATAATTACTCCACGAGGGCCAAATCCTCAGCTCATCAGACAGGCTGAATGGCTGGTCTGCATGTTGTGCCTTTTTTCCTGTTATAGGGAGGTGAGGTATTTGCCATAGCCCCCAAACAATAGAGACAATAAGCTTTCACTCCTTGGCAAACAGCAGCTGGTATTGACACATCCCATCTCTTTCCCCCCCCCCCCCCCACCCTCCATGGTGAACTCCAGCAGGAAGATTCAACAAAGAAGAATTTTGTGAGATAGAAAGAGAGAAGATCCCCTACATCACATCCCCAAATTCTGCTTCTCACCCTGAAACAGAACCACAATGCTTTTATTGAATCAAGTACCTCCATGGTCATACAGAAGTGGATGGAATCTAGTTATAAACCTTGGAGCATCTTCTCTTGACACATGCATAATTCCCATCACTGACAATATAGCAAGGAGATGTTCCCTCACCCCACCTTCAGGACAGAAGCTATAAATCCCACTGTGACTTGGGAAAAGAAAATTATCTCTAGATCCACTTTTGATTTAACAGAGATAAAGTGGACAGCTATAAGCAAAGAGTCTTGTGTTTTGGTACAATCAGGTTCAGCTACAGGATGCCAACAATCCCACTTGCTTCCGATTAGACACTAGAAGTGCTTCAGGATTTAAACTCTATTCATTACTATTTAGAAATCAGCTTTTCTTTTGTGAATGGGCCTACCTTTAAACAATCAATGGCAGCAAACAGATAATGCTCCCGGTTTACCCTAACCATATGCTGCAAATACCTTTGCACAAGACAAAAGTATATGGACAAGATCTGGCTTTAAGTTTAAATTCCCTGGTTTGTTAGTGCAAGCCAAGCAGATTTATTTAAAAAGTTTTGTGCATACATGCGCATTTTTTAAAAAAAATAAAATACACCTCTGGTTTGAAAAGCGACACCTGATCGTATTGAGTTTCTATGTTTATCTTAATGTTTCCACATCAAATTTATTCAGTTTACAAATAATCTCTACTTTTTCTGTTTGTCAGATCTCAGGTTGAGTTTGCAGGACTATCAAGCTGGGTTCATTCTTGCCCTCATATTTCATTACTGAAGTAATAAAGATACTGCAGGACAAGTTATACCCTTTGTTACATCTATTCAAGCCTATTAGCCGTGCAGCTTAAGGAGGATTTTATGCTATAGCCACAGGAGCGTAACACATTGTTTGACGGGCAAGTTTATTTATAATCCATCAAGATTATAAATAAACTAAGAACAAGACTTCAAGTAGGGTCAGACTCTTCCATTGTAACCTTTATCCTGCTGTAAGTGAAGATGACTAAGATCACCTGACTATTTTCATACCAGGAGTTGTAGCTGCAACTCTTCAGAGCAACAGTACAGCACTCCACCAAGCATTCATCCAGATATTTATTCCATGCTCATCACAATGATAGCCAAGTGCTTCCAAAGATCTGTCTGCACAACACGCTGATTTATTTGGCAGCAGCTGTCAAATATGGTTCCTCCCTCAATCATGGTTAAACCAATTTGGCAAGTGATGTACAGGTCATGCCAAACCATTCGACAGCAGCTGTCAAATATGGTTCCTCCCTCACTCATAGAATCACAGAAGATTAGGGTTGGAAGAGACCACAGGAGGTCACCTAGTCCATGGTTAAACCCAGTTTGGCAAGTGGTCCAAAGGTGCTGCCAAACCATTTTCAACACCTGATTCAGGAAGCATGACTGGCCTCTACTAGGAAAAAGGGTTGAACTTGGTGCCTGGCTGAACCATTTTAAACAATTTCAACAGCAAGTAGAGTGAGGGCTTGTGTTTGACACCTGTCAAACCTTACAGTTTCTGTTTCCAACATATTCAAGTTGTAAGACAGACTTTTATTGTTAAGTCCAAGCTTTCTTGGATGATTTAGGCCGCCTTCAAGTGCTGAAGTCTCTCCGCTGAGAAGCAAAAGTAATTTAGTGAAAGGAGAAATGAACAACACAAAAAAGTCAGAGCAAGTAGTGTTCTTGGCTGTGTGTTTTAATTAACACAGATACAATCTTGACTGCAGTATTTAAACGCCCACTGCTTTATGTTACAGTGCAGGTGAGGTTTACTAACAGTAAACATGGCTCCCCTAACAATTGAGAAGGGGTGGTTACCAGTAGATAGTAGTGTGCCTGTTTTTGTCCCTCATTTCCATCAACAGAGTCCCACTTGACCACCTTACAAGTTTCCCAGTGAAAAGGTGGGTGGAGCGATAGTTTGGAACGGATGCAGCCTTGTAGCTGGTTTCAAACTACAGTCAGAGCTGGAAAAGTTCTACTTGACAGAGCACAGGTGGGACTGGGGTACTTGTAAGATGCATGAATCTCCCACTTGAGTGAGGCAATGAAAGTGCAGACAGGACAAAATTTGATTTATGCAGTTCCACAGTTGGTTGAACACCCCACTACAAACGCCAGAAAAGCTCCTTGTACAAAAAATACTGTAATACTGAAACTGTCATTCCCCCCCCCCCCACCCAAACAGAGAGTCACAAAGAGGTATTGTTTTATCCTCAGGATGAAATAATTTATTCCTTCCCCATCATGCAGCTTGGGGAGGTGGAGGAGAAATAAAGATATCTGAAATAAAAAAACAGTTCTTTGCATGAGTAAATGTTTGTCTGAATGGACTCTCCACCTCTCTAGTTACTCCAAAACTCTCTGTGGCCAGAAATTGCACAAAGTTTATTACATACAGATTCCTCAGTGATTTAGCTAATGGATGCACAACCTAGGTCCATACAGTTCACATATATGTATGCATAAAGTTATCAAGTAAGTGGTAACGAAGGCTTTGGTGCTCAAAATATAAACTCCAACTCATTATTACCAGAATGCTTCAAAGAGAAGCCTAGCACTGCTAAATTCAGCTCATCACATTTAGTCTACCATACACAAGATTAAAGTTTACACGTTAATTCCTGTGCATACTGTAAAACCTGTTGTGGAGTATTAAATTATAGGAAAAGTGAGTTATTTTTACTAAAAACAGAATAGACCAATCTCTCAAAATGCCATTTGGCTGTGTTCATTACATTCTAGAATTTAATTTACATGATAGCACTTTAGAGTAATAAGCTTTAATCAATAAACATTTGTTGAAGCTTTATTTTCTTTAGAAAATGTATTTTAGATGCCTTTCTACAGTGTTAAGTTTAACACTAAGAAAAATCACACTAAGAGTGCTGAGTTTCCAATTCTAGGGAAGTACAATTGCACATATACATATGCAAAAGCAAGCATTTACAATTAAGGTTGTCAGACCTTGTTTAAATACATATTAATCTAAACCATTGTATTTGATACAATCCTGCATCTGGCTCTCATTTTCTGTATTCCTGTAGGTATTCTGGGTCACTATTAAGAATCCTTTCAAGTTAGAAAAGTTCAGCCAAATCTACCTTAATCCAAAGTCTTTAAAAAACAGAATTAAAACAAGAAGTTACTTTCTAGCCACCCCTAATCCATCTGAAAGTCAGAGGACACCAGCCACTCACTAGAGATAATACTTCGAAAAACGGAAAGTGCCTAAAGCTGTTCATACATTAACTAATTAACCCTCTCAACAGCCCCTAAAGGCAGATCATTATCCCCGCACAGCCCCTTAAGGCAGCTTGTTTTAGTCCCATATTCTTATACTTTTATTTCCCCAACATAAACCTATCCTGACAGCATCCTCTCACCTTTAACTTGACTGCAGCTATGCCAAACATCAATGTAACATATTTCCGGCTCCTTTCAGGCTGCCTGCGCTCTAAGCTCCCACATGGGCACTTGCTGAATACAGACTCCTCAGTGGGGGTGAGGGGTGGGTAGCAAAAGCTTTCTAGCCAATTTATTTAAACTCCACGCGTTTCGGGATTTAAAGAGGCAGGCCACAATTTTCCTGCACCAATCAACTACAGTACGATAAAGCTACATGTTGCAGTGCTGTTAATCGGCAGGGAAATCTCCGACTAATCGCTCCCCCCCCCCCGTATACATGAGCTATTATATTAAGTAGTGGGTCTTGAATCTCATCAAGGCATACACCCAAAAGATAAAGGAAAGCTGCATAGCCAGTACTTTTCCTTGAAAGGACAGGATTCCAAAGCGCTATGAGCAGCCGCGTTAAAACTGCAACACTCAACGCATGTGTCAGGTCCTAGACAGAAGGGAGACGCTGTTCAAGCCGTGTGGTTACAGCGGGAGGAAATGCCCGTCAGCCCCAGAAACACACACGGAGATAAGCTCAGAATATACCCCCCTTCACACACACAGGACGTCTCCCCGACACACTTCCCACTCCCCAGAAGTTCAACCCTCCGAAGCCGGCAGGAGCTAACTTCCATCAGACTCTTCGCTCCCCCTTCCACCCCCGGCATGGAAACCAGGGCTCTGCATACGCCACAATATGTACAAGGCTGTCTGCTTCCACCCCAGCCAATGCCCCGCTGAGCCGCCAGTGCCAGCTCAAGCCCCCGCAGGACCCAGAGCCCCAGCAAGAATCGCACCTTAGACTCCCCAGGGCCGGCCAGCAGGAGCCGGACCGCGCAGCCCCCTCCCCCAATACAGCCACCCCTTGGGCCAGCCGGAGCCCAACCAGGACCCAGCCCGCTGAGCTTCCTCCTTTTCAACCTCCGGGCCAGCCGGACCCAAGCCCCAGCAGGACCCGGACCTGCGCGCCTCTCCCCACTGCTATTCCCGAGCGCCAGCAGGCCCCGGAGCTCAGCTTCCCCCTGCCAGCCCGAGCCGGACCCCACGCCACATCACCCCCATGCCAACCCCCGCAGGCCAGCACAGCTCTCTTCGCACGTCCCGAACCCGCCAGCAAATTCAAACCCACCCGGGGAGGAGGAGGAGGAGGAAGGTCCAGCCATGGATGCCGAGATGTAAACAAACCCGGGGCAGGCAGGGGGGCTCGGGGACCCTAGGGAAGGCTGGCCGGACTCTCCCTGCTGGGGGGAGCCCTGGGAAGGGAGGGCGAGCGGGGGAGGGGGGGAATCTGGCCGGCCACCCCCCGCACTGGGGTCCCCTGCCCCGGCTGTGGGGGGAGCCGGCCGGGGGAAGAGGCTGTCTGAGCGGCGGCGGGGAAGGCGAGTGGCTCGGGCTGCTTTAAAAGCGCCGAGCGCTGGCACCACAGCGCCCCCAGCCCCAGCCGCTCAGAGGCTGCAGCCTGCGCCCGGCCGGCTGCCTGCGCCCCACACAAAGTCCCAGCACTCAATAAACTTTCCCCGGCTCCCAGAAATAAAGGGGACCGGGGTCTGCCCCCCGCCCGGCCGCCCTCTGCCCCGCACGGCCCCGCCGGGGGGCTGGCCCGGGACCGGGCGAGCGGCGGCTCCGGCGGCGGCGGCTCCGGCGCCATCTTGGGCTGATCGATGAATTGAACAAAGAGGATCAATTTCTGATAAAGCCAGTTATCAATGGGGAGAGCGGGGCCGGGCCGCGCGGGGGGGCTCCCCCTGGGCGGCGCGGGCCGGGGGGCCGGGCCGGGGAGCGGCGGGGGGGCCCGGCGGCGCGGCCCGGCCGGCGGGGCGAGCGGAGAAGCCTGACCTGCAGCTGCTGTAAATCAAAGCGCTTCCAATATTGAAACATCGATCCCACATTGGCCGCCATCTTGAGACATATTGAGACAGAGTGAGCGGCTGATAGAGAGAGAGGGGCTGGAGTTCAGGAGCCGGGAGGGAGGGGGAGGGAGGGAGCCAGCCGGGCGGGGGGGGGGGGGGGGTGGAGGGGGAGGGAGGCGGGCAGGGAGCGCCCAAATCCCGGCCTGGAGCCCGAGCCCGGCCCGGAACACGGACTCGCAGCCATTGCACAGAGATACAGCGAGCTGCTTCCCTCTCACCGGGGCACAAGCGCAGCAGCCAATGCGCTCGCCTCCATCCAGCCGCCGCACAGGGAAGAGATCTAGCACACAGGGCAGGGCGATCAGGCACGGAAGACCCACGACCATCCGGAGCAAATGTAAGGAGCCTCCTAAGTGCAACAGAGATTTATATTAGGCAAGGAGACAGCCTACTTGAAACACCCAAAACATCCCGAACAACCCCAGGCTCCAGAGCACCGCAGACAATGAATCTAGACCGGGGACAAGCTGGAAAAGCACCCCGAAGAAATCCAAGATTCCAAAGTACAGAAAATATTTGCAGCAGTAGAGGAGGGAATCTAGCGGAAAAAATATCCCCAAACATCCAGAATAAATAGAAGGAGTAGACGAAAAAATGCATATTAAACAAAGCTACAATGTGGGGAGCCAGTTAAAAACAACCGCCTAGAGTACAGAAAGTATTTATATCATACAAGGATGCAACCTATATAAATACCCACAATATCCAGAACATACAAGGCTTTACAGTACAAGGGAGATGTGTGCTAAACAAGGATGCAATCTAGAAGAACTCCTCAAACATTCAAAAAACATCCAGAACATAAACAAAATAAATATTTTTACTCTGTAAGGATACATCAACTGAAATACAAAAAACATTAACTCTTTTATACATATAATTTCCAACTTGGTTTAGCCTGATTGCTTGCTTTTTTCGTTTTCAAAGTGTTGTTGATGTATCCTGTTTTATGTTTCCAACTATAAGCAAACAAATGTATGAACAGCAATAATAATACATTAAATGTATGCATTATGTCAAATTTGTAAAAAAAAAAAAATTAAAACCGTTAGCTCTATGCATTTCCCTGGTACAATTTTCAGTTGTGATAGAATCAGCTTGTATGTTTTCATTCCCCTTCAATCCAAATGTTGTACCATGTGTATAGTGCATGGAAGCCTGAAAATAAAACTGACTAGAAATAAAGGTGAAACTGACTAGTGTATTTTTATTGTCCAAGCTGAGAGAAGCTAAATAAACAGCATGACTGAGAAATAATTCAATTTTTAAAATTATTTCAGTTTTAATAATCCAATTGAAATTTGAAACACAGTTTCAGGAATTTGGGGGCCATCCTGAAAAGATTTACCTGTATAGTACCTTAACTCATATAAGTAGTCCCACTGAAGTAAATTGAAAGATTCCCATGGACATCAATAGCCTTTGGATCAGGCCCTGTGGGTAATTTTTATTTTTTAAATAATACATATATTAATAAATAATTGATTGCATGTGATTATTTATTTATGATAGTCCTCACTTTGTGGCAGATGCTTCTGAAATAGACGGTGAAGATGCTCCCTGTTTCAAGGAGCATACAATCTAAAGTCAGACAAGTAGACAGAGGTTAGGGGAAGACGAAGAACAGTATATAACCTACAAAAAGAAAAGGAGGACTTGTGGCACCTAAGAGACTAACAAATTTATTTGAGCATAAGCTTTCATGAGCTACAGCTCACTTCATCCGATGAAGTGAGCTGTAGCTCACGAAAGCTTATGCTCAAATAAATTTGTTAGTCTCTAAGGTGTCACAAGTCCTCCTTTTCTTTTTGTGGATACAGACTAACACAGCTGCTACTCTGTAACCTACAAAAGCGAACTTGATTCACTGTAACCAGCTTAGTAAAAGTGGGTCTTTAAGAGGAATTTGCCTAAATGTGGACAGGCAGTTATTCACATTCTGAAGAGCCTTTGCAGGATCAGAGCCTTACATAGAGGGCCTTTATTCACATGAGTTGTGTTATTGACCACTGACCTCAGTTGGACTACTCATATGAAAGTCTGCAAGATCAGACCTATAGCTTGCACCCTTAAGTGTACTGTCATGTGGACAGAACGTCCATGGAGGCAGAGACTAAGAAGACACAAGAACTTTTTTGCAGTAAACAAAATAACTTTTTTCTATGAAAGGAAACATTTTTTCCTTGTTATTGTTTTAAACTACAGCCCATTTTACCAATTTTGTCTGTTTACAAAACAAATTATTTTAGAGACATTCCTCCTTTATACAAATAAGAATTATCTCTTTATTTCTTTAGTGTAAAATAAACAATCACAGGGCCTGAATCTGTTCCAACTGAATTTAATAGCAAAACTTCTGTTGACTTCAGTGCATACAGAATCAGGCCCATAATTTACACACACACAAATAATCAAATTATACTATTTTTGTAATACATATAATCAATGTTTAGGTCATGATTTATTTGTCCCAAACATTTCAATGTGAAGGGACGGGGGAGAGTAAATTCGCTGCTAAATACACATGTATACAGAGCACAAACTTGTAGTCTTTTTGGTGCCAAAGTTTCCATTGTCTGCAGTGGGAATTTTGAGCATTCTCGGAATGGAGGAGCCCATAATTAGTTAAAACTAAACTTATAGCTGTGAAAAATCTATCTTTTTGATATGTGTGGGCCTACAAAGGGACTAGATATATACATACATATATGTGTGTATAATTTTTTTATAATTAAACAGCCTATTGAAAAATATATTTGATCTCTTTTAAGTGAATTTAGTACTCACTAAAGATACTAGATTGGCAGTACTGGAAAATGAAGTCTTCAGTTTATATGGCACAGACAACAGCAGAGCAAATTTCTACAAATTATCCACCAATGGGTCTTAGTCCTGTTCTGGAGAGACACTGTTATTTCACACTCCATCTCCATTCACACGTTGGCCTTTCTGTGGAAATTGCTGCTTACAAGGATATTAACTGTGAGGGTGGTTTTTATGCTATGGATATGTAATGACCAACAGCTACATACATACAGACACTAAAATTGTTAGTTGTCTCTACTAGGAATAGGACTAATAACATGTGGTTATGAAAATGTCAGGCCTCCACCTTGTGATCTGAATAGGTAGCTCCACCAGTGTAAGCCCCCAACATTCCCTGGACTGCAGAATTCACAGCAGGCAGCCAGCCTATGCAGTTGCAGACAGTTAAGCTTGTTTTGAGAAGGATGCCTCTTTTGCTTGCTAAAGTAGCCACGTTTTTGGCTGCCCAATCCCTTTCCTGGGACAGTGTTTGTGATTTTACC